TACAAGTAAAGTATCAGTTTGGGCTTTTTATGAATTTATGATTTTAGTTCGGGAAGTTTTACGAAAGGATGAGTTGATAGAAGTTTAGAGATTCTCATTACCTTTCTGTGGATATAAGAATCGTCCAAATTTGACTTAGAAAGAAGAAGTTATGGCCTTTGGAAGTTGGTGGTTTAAAGGGCTAAGCCTTGTACGCAGGTAGTACTAAGCTAAAAGGATCACATACCTTCATGGAGTATGCTGGGTGTACTGGGAGTATGCAATGCGTACTCTAGCTGTATGAAAACCCTATTTTTTAGGGGTTTCACCATATTCAAGCATCTTAAACTCACCTCCTGGACATTTTAGACCAGCCTCCATATATTCTAAACACTAATTTCGCCCGTAGCTATTGTTTTGGTGCTTTTGAGCTATTGTGAAGAATATTGGTGTGTTCTTATGCATTCTGAAGTGGTAGAAGAAGATCGAAGACTCATTCCTTGGAATAAAGCTTAGCGATCTAGAGTTAGCATCATCATTTCGTGTCATTTGAGGTATGCAGTTCTTAGCCTAACAACTCCTTATGTAGATCTAGTTTGGGTTTGTTTATGGCACATTGTAGTTCCTTTTGGTTGGTCCTTGTGAGTAAAGGTTGTTTTGGATGCTCAACCCTTAGATCTAGACGTTTTAGGGGTCCCTTATGCATAAAAATGAAAACTTTATGGGGTATTTTGATGCATACAGATGTGAAGACCTTTATTAAGCTCTTTTTGAGCTCTTGAGCCCCATTAAGCCATGCGTGCATGTAAAGTTGCCAACTTTATGTGATAGGTAACCTTTTAGAATCAGATTTGAGAATTTGGCTTGAAGTCTCAATGGATTAAGTGCTTAATGGAGTGGGTGGCAAACTGGGGAGTACGCTGGGCGTACCCAGCTGGTATGTTGCGCGTACTACCCCTAGAATGAGTACGCTATGCATACAAGCTGAGTACGCCCCACGTACTCAGTAGATGGGCTTTTTGGGCTTGCATTCTTGGTTTGCGCCGTTGATTGGGTTTTCTTTATTTGAGCCTTGTTGGACCATTAGACTTTTGATTTGGGCTTTTAGCTAGTACATTAGGTTTCCTTGGATTAGGCCATGATAGGTTTTGGGCCCAATTCAGAAGATTGTACCATATTTGGGCTTTGGATATCATTGAGGATTTGGGCTTTGGAAGTAGTTGAGTTGGGCCTTGGCTTTGGGCCAAGTGAGATAAAGGGTAGAATGGTCTTTTACCTTGGTTATGGGCTAAGTAGCTTAGACTCTTGGTTATAGGTTGGAACCTAATTAATAATTGGATGTCATTTGATATTGATACCACGGGGATTCACCATACCAACAGTTAGAGATTTATTCGAGTGCTTCTGCAGCTAGATGTGAGTTTTCTCATTGTGTTTAGTGGGTCGAAGGCATCAATGTCGGCCTATGGTTTGATATGTTAGTACGCTAGTTTTCTGCATGACTCTTGCATGTGTTATACATACATACATACATACATACATACATACATACATATATATATATATATATATATATATATATATATATATATATATATGTTTACCGGGTGGGGCTCGATGTCGGGCGGGGCCCGATGATTGAACTGTATGCTATTATCTTTGTGATTATCCCATGTATTTGTATGATTATATGCTTATATGTTTATATGTAAACCGGGTGGGCCTGATGACCGAAATCTGTATACCGAGTGGGGCTCGAAGTCGGGCGTGACCGGATGACGGGTAGGGCCCATTATATCTTGGATATGTACGGTATTGATATGGGTGAAATAGTACTAATATCCAGTTGAAATAGACTGAAGGGGATTGCAAGTACTCATATATGCTTGGATGTATGTATGTATGGTATGTAGTATTTTAGGGAACACACTAAGCTTTGTGCTTACAATTTTTATGGTTATGGTTTTAGGTTAGGCTGTTAAGATTGGAATCCTACGTATGATCGCTTTTGGGTTTGCAAGATCGGGATCGGGATCCTATGATCCCACAAAATAAAACATAATTTTAATTTATAATTTTTAAATATGTAAAATATTTCAAACATTTAATTTTTCGTTCAAAAGTTATAAAAACTTCAAAATAGTAGTCATAAATCACAAAACAAAATGATAAACAGTCAATTGGAAAATGGTAAAAGACATAAAATTATAAAATTAATTTTCATTTGCAAAAAAAATAAAATAAAAATAAAATAAAAATCAAGGGAAGGTATGGTCGGATCGGATCCCGATCCTACGATCCTACCTGCGATCCTACCCCAAACACGATCTGTTTACGATCTAGATAGTTTTTCATACCTATGATCGTAGGATTGTACCATCTTACGATCAGGATCGCGATTTTGACAACCGTGGTTTCAGAATTTGAGGTACTTCGGGTTCGAAAAGGAAGGATCTGCATGATCGCAACCCATCCACCCATGTTTCCGTATTATGATGATTTCAGAATTGTACTATGATAACTGTTTTCTGATAAAGTATATTTAAATATTTAGGAAAAGGATAATGATTGCTTGACTTAAAGTTAATTAATGTTTTGATTGAACTAAAAATGAAAATTTAAACTCATAATTTTTGAGATGTTACAACTAATGTTAGATAGCCTAGAATAAACGGGCTTCATTTTAGTCTATACCCTTCTTTTTTCACTCATAATCTTTACTTATGTTATAAAATATCTAAATTCATACAAATATTCTTTTTTACTCCTTTTAATGAGCAGTCAGGCTATGAAGTTCCCACATCAACAAAAATTAATGTTAAAAGTGGGCGGAAATTAAGGAAGAAAATAGGGAAGCCAACTCTAATCCAATCGAATTATCAAGAGAGCAATTTGAAAATGCTGCCAAATTAGAAGGTAAAGTTTCATATATGCCATTGCTAAATATTTAAATATCGTATATGTCTAGCCTAAACTTTAAATATCGTATTTACCCTTCTTAATGTTTTTTAATATCATATATACCCACATCTATTTTTTGATGGCTTTTATTGATTTATAACTCTTTTTCATAATATTAAATCTTTATAATTAAAAAAACATTTTGAATGGACAATATTGCCCTTGGTGCTTACTACCTCAGATCACGTTGCCCAGTCCATCACACCCTATTATCATCCAAATGTTGATACTTCTGATCGTTGCTTCTCCCTGTGTGTCGCACACTCTCACACATCAGGTAAATAAAATGCAACTATTCCTATTTTCCCTTTCTTCAATTTCGTGTGATATTGCTTGATTTGTTCACATTAATGTGTTGTTCATGTGAAAGCAATCTACATTCAATTACATCACCAATATATGATTGAAATTTTACGAACAAAATCAGCCAAACTCCATAACATCAAAAGTAAAACATAACAACAATGAGTTAAAATTGCTGAAGGGTAATTTAGGTAGTAAGTTCCTTGCATTAATTTATTTTGATCCAACAGAAACAAACATCAGAATTGAACTTTCAAAAGCAAACTAGAATTATACATCTACTTTCAAGAATAGCCAGCACCAAAACCAAAATATTTTTGAAGATAAGAACCAAAATTCCAAATCGATGTATCCTAAAATCCAATAGATTTACCCCAAAAATCCAAACGATATACCCCAAAAATCTGGATTGATTAACCCCAAATATCACTTTCAGATGAACAATTTCAAACAGGCAAAATTGATTTACCCCTCATTCAATGCTATGAACGAAGAAGATCCACACCTGAATGAAGAGTGTGTGCATCAAATGTATGTGTAGAAGACGTCAACTAGCTCAGAAGGGCGAATATGAAGTTGCACGTAAGTTTTAAGAGGCTGTGATTGGGAAGAAGTCAGGTGCGAGTGTGTGCGACATCGGGGGGTGGGGAGAAGCAGCAATCAAACGTATCAACAGAAGCATGATCGATTGTGATGGACTGGGCAACGTGATATGAGGTAGTAAGCACCAAGGGCAAGATTGTCCATTCAAAATGTTTATTTAATTATTGTGATTTAAGATTATGAAAAAGAATTATAAATCAATAAAAATTATCAAAAAAAATACGTTTGGGTATATATGATCTTAAAAATCATTGAGAATGGTAAATACGATATTTAAAGTTTAAGTTGGGCATATATAATATTTAGATGTTTAACAAGTGTATATATGAAATTCTGTCAAATTTAGAAAATGATATTGGATTCGGATGGTTAAAAAGAATTAGGTGGAAGAGAAGGTCTCCTTGTTGCATAAAAGATGTACCTTATTAAGGATTTTGGAAGATATTTTTTGTCTTAAATACTGATAATATTCTTGTAAGACAAGTTAAATTTTAATACAAATAATGCTTTTGTGTTTTCAATTTATTATCTGAATTGTTATTTTATTTTATATTCCATTTAAATTTATAAAAACTTTTGTACCAAATTTACAAATACAAATGCTTTTATTTTAGCAATTATATAGTTTCATAAAAATGTACCACAAAAAAAAACCAAAAGTGTTTTAGTTGCAAACCCAAGAGGACTGTAGCGAAACAACAAAAAGTGTCACTAAATGCTTTTTTTTTTTTTCCCTTAGTGACACTTATTCTATGCCGCTAAATTAAATGTCATTTAGTTTGTTATAGATGATCAATCACATAGATATAATTTTCGCCTAATCGTATATCTAAGAATAATTGTAACGAGGAATATAGCCAAAAATTGCAAATGGACACCAGAAACAAGCAGTGAAAATTTTGTCCCAAATTGCATATAGATAACAACGTACACGTGACTAATGCACAACTGATATAATACAAGATAGATGATTCCATATAAAAAACCAAAGCAAGTATATATAGAATTATGTGGTCTTGATGGTAAAGATGGTCTGAATGATGGTAAGAGCAAACAAGATGATTCCAGCAAGTAAAGCTATGATATTCCACGGACTATTGAAATAAGTACGCCTCAACCATGCAACATTTTTTGGCCAGTAACTATTGCAGTGGCTATCCAATATTTTCCACTGTTGGCTGTAAAAGAAATGTACGGGGGTAACTTCTTTGCATATACCGTTCAACATACTAGCTGCCTCATCATCTGAACCGAAATTGTTGAGAAGGACTTTGGATCTTACCAACGTGGCAACATCCTTTTGAGTATTGACTAGCATATCCATGGCTACAAGATACGATGTAACGAAATTACAACTAAGAGACGACTGCTCATAAGCCATGAGGTTCCTTAAAAGCAACTCGGAGTAATCATGAAGTTGCAATACAGGAATTCTGAAAGTAGGCTTACCCCAAAACCAGAAAAGCCACGGGAACCTACGAAATTTCACTTCCATGGCCATCGACCATTTTGCATTTCTGTTAGGCTCAAACTTTACCCCTGCCATATCTAGTTCTGCTGCAGATGGGATTAGCGAAATAGGAAAATCTGATGAAATATTGGATGAAGGCCTGTAACGTTCATGCAGAAGGCCAAGAATATGATCAGGACTGGTATCCGTACCAATAATATTATTGCTTGATCCTGAACCTGAATAGATGTCGATGAAATCTAGAACAGGTAAGATGAACTTACTAAGAGAAGCTTCATTAGACCCTAATTTAAAAATAGTACACTGATATATGTCATTAAGGACAAAGAAAGGAATTTGGTTTTCCAGTATGAACAGGTCAAATAATACAGGTTGTTCAAGAAGCATGTTTCCCATAATTTGTCGGCCTTCTGAAAAATTGTAGATGAATTCGAGTATGAAACAACCATCCATAACCATCATTTTGGCAAGGTCAACGTCACCATAAGTACTCATCATCCCCGCATAACATGCCCTGATTCGGTCTATTAAATCATTTACCTTACGCACACATGCTTGCAATGTCTCTTCTGTTGGGGTATCTAAACGATGCAATAAATCATGTACACAAGAAGCTTTATATCTTTCGAACTCTTGCAGTTTTTTATCTTCTCTGTGAAGAGGACCAATAGAGACAACTCTAGGGTTGAAAGAACTTGGGCTGAGTTCACGAAACACCCTAGGCACCATGTAAATAGATGGTAGAAGTTGGTAGCTACGACTCTTTTCATTTTCTACACAATCAAGAAGACTTTGGACAGTGCTTTGAATGATATCTACATCTCCAAGCTCCACTTCCACATAATCCATTGAAAATGTTAGCAGAATTCAACTGTAATAAGTAACCAAGTTATTAAAGCCGAAAACTGAAGAGAATATATTACTAAGGAAAGGTTCAAGAACTACATGGCAGACGAAGCAAATGTGTAAGTACTGCATTCACTTTACATTCTATGGTGGGTATATAAAGAAGAATACCAGATAAGGTTTCTCCTAATTATACATGGTAGAAAAATAAAGTTATATTGAGTAATTGAGAACCATTGTCCTCAAGTTGCACCTAAATTGCCATTTGATTCGGTGTGCCATGATAACTAAGAGGCCCACTATGGCATTATAATGCAATAAAGGAATTTATATATATATATATATATATATATATATATATATATATATATATATATATATATATATATATATATATATATATATATATATATATGTGTGTGTGTGTGCGAGCGCGCGTGTGTTCAACAATTTGTCTGCATTACATGTGACATCCTAGTAAATTTACATGTGGAATATTAGATAAATTAAAAAATCAATAAAATGCTATATATATAATATATATATATATATATATATATATATATATATATATATATATATATATATATATATATATATATATATATACACATTTCCTAAATTAAGTCCATATATAGAGCAACAAAAATACGTTTGCCAATTGATTAGCCTTCAATCACGGTGGATTGAAGGCTTCGATTTCAAAATCATATCGGTTCCATTTAACAAAATATTCTCTGTGTATGGACTATATACTTATATGAAATGTTAAATGAATATCTATTTAGAATCGCATCAATCATGCGTAATCGTTCATCTTTTACTTATAACAGGTAATAATTTCCAAAAATTTCTTATAATTACATCTATATACATAATACATTCACGAGTCGTTTCCTTTCAATTTCATATATATATGCACGAGTCATCTTCTTCACACTGGAAATCAACTGTCTTGAAGAATCTGTATTGCCATCCCAACAACTACATAAGGTTAGTATTATGCCCATTTATATATATACGAGTCATTTCCTTTAATTTCAATTTTTTTTATTTTATTTTTTATTTTTTTTACACAGTGTAACAAGGCTATTTGTATCATGTCCGCCAACTATTCAATGTAATGCCAATCTCAATTTCTTTGTTTGAAATATTCAACATATTATGCCTTTTATATGAATCTGCTGTAAACAATAAAAGTGAAACACATATGACTTTTTTGCCCCTCCTAATAGGAAAGTGTGGTCAATAAACAACCGTCTTAGAAATTATGTAGCCATCTGCATATAAAAAAGGCTAAATATAACCATGAAAGACTACAGAAACTGAAAGGAAACAATGTAATACAAAGTTTACTTAATTTCTCTGTTGGAAATATTGAACATATTATGCCTTCTGTATGAAATATTGAACATATTATGACTTCTGTATGAAATAACCTGATGTTTCGTTCTGTTATTCTCTAAACTGTCTACCGACTTATTGGTAATATCACTTAAAACAACAAAGCCATTCCTAGAATGTATGCTCTTTTATTTATTATTTCATTCAATCTAAAATAAGTATATCCTACTGTACATTGTTTTTACAGCTGATTATCCACTAATCACTTTCAAGACACAAATCCAAACACTCCCCAGATACAAAAAACTTATCTTCTCAATCCCTGTAACATAGGGAATCTTGATAAATCAGATAGGCTCACAATATTCATCAATTTTAATTAACATGAGTTTGGAGGGAAAAAGAAAAAATGAAAATAGGTAGACAGGTAAATGATTGGTGTCTTGATACATTCAACAAAGGTTTTTTGGCTTAACCTATTAAATCATTTTGTCCAAATTAAGTCAAAAGGTAACAACCATATGGCATTAAGTGCTTAACTCATTAGCTCAAAAACTAACCGGGGCTATTAAGTATTACCTCAAAACTTTTTAGCAATTGCTGCTATCCAGGCTCTATCTTTATCATTATATGCATAACTAATGCTAGATGCCAACAACACAAACCCTGTAATCTTGTCTTTAGAGTTGTTCCCTTTAAGCACATGCAAAACCAATACAGAACGTGTCTCTTCAGGAAGCATGTCCCAATGCTCAGAATCTAAATTTTGTATTTTACTACAATTCATTTCTTTTAATTTTTATCAGCTACAAATCTTTTGAACCATATGATAATTCACCCGATCTTTGCAGAAAGTAAAGGGTATCTGTCAAATTAAAAAGACCAATACGTTGTATTTTACTACTTTTCCCATATTGCCACTACATTACCATTTTTGAGACCATCTCTTAACAGGATATCCAAAAACATTTTATAATGAATAAAAGGTAAGTCAAACACATATACATTCTTTTTATTAATTTTTAAATTTTTTTTTAACATTTAATGGGATGTTGTTTCAAGAATTTTTATAATGATTGATAGAGTTTCTACAATCATTTCAGCTGTTTAAGTAATCCCACATAATCTCCATCAACGAAAACCAATTGAGACTTTATTTGTGGATGCAACTGTAATTTTGAACAGGAGAAATATCAAAAGGGGCATTTTGGGCTTTTTATTATGAAAGTGTTTCTATTTTTTCTGAACCGAAAAGTTTTTCTTGCTGCAGATTTCATTCTGAAAAACGGTGCAAAAACATATAACATTTGAATTCAATTTACACTTCCGGTTTGCATATAAAATTGTTCTTTTAGGATATACTTATTACTTTCAAATGTTTATGTTATTTCTGAAAATAATAAAAAAGTTTTTTTTATGAACACAGAAAATATGGGAAGGGGTATTTTGATCCTAACACTAACTATTATATAATCCGCAACTTAAAAGCTTCTCGCTTTCTACTCATATTAGTTGTATTATTTCACAATCAATTATCTAAACATGAAAATAAATAATAATAAGTTAAGTTATGGTTACACATATTTTATGTTATCCAAATATAATGCGATGTTTCATTCTTGGAAGGGGCATTTTCGTCCCTACACTAAATATATTATGACATTTCCGTCCTTTTTTTTTCTCAAACATTGTTAGTTTTTAATACCTTTTTTTATTATTATTATTAATTTTAATGATATAATGTATTATTTTTGTTCACATATACTCGAAAGAACATTTAAAAATTGTAAAGTTTAAACTATTAATTAACTTTTTTTTCGTGTATCTAATGTGGATTTAGATATGTAAAGTTCACCTGATTACTTTGCTTATTATTCTCAAATCTGATTTGCTTATCATTCTCAATATTGTCCATTTTATAATCAATGTTTTATTTTTATCTTACAGCTCATGGATCCAACAGAAATTACAATGATCAATGATCTAGGTCTCTCAAATGACAACTACACAATTAAGGTCCGAATTATACGACTTTGGAAACAAACAACTTGGTCGAAACCACATGAGACACGACAAATTAGAATGATTTTAATGGATGAAGAGGTATTTAAACTTAATTGCTTTAAACATATTTAATGATTTCAACTTATCATATTATTAGTTATACACTATTATGTTAATCATATAGTTGTTTATTAGTTATTTATTTAATCGTTTTTTAAGGGCAATAAAATCGAATGCACTGTGGAGAAACCATATGTGATACTGAGAAAAGCACTTGAAGAATATGCTGATGTTTACATTCATAAGCCAACACTTGGTTTATATGTTGATGATGCTATGAAGTTCGTTGACATTCAAAAAAAAATTGTTTTTTCAATATACCACTAGAGTAAACAAGTGCATTGGTTTTAATGGGCCTTTGAATTCTTTCGCTTTTGCAAACTTCCAAGATCTTATCGATAAGGCGATCCCTTGCGATTTTCCAGACAAAGAAAATTTGAGATAAAGAAGTGTAAACAAGTGCATTGGTTTTAATGGGCCCTTGAACGAACTCATCTATATCTGAATTCACTTTTCAAAACAAAAAAAAATTTGAGATAAAAACAAAACTAAAAGAAAACTTAGAATATAATAATCTTTTGGATTTTTCATATTTTCTGAAAAAAATAAAACATAAACAAAAATATTTTTGGAGTTTTGAAATTTCCGAAAAAGAAATAAAACAGGAATACCAATATTTTTGGATTTTTGGTTTTCTGATTTTTGTGATTTTTTTTAATTATTAATTCTCCCTCTAAATTTGTGCATAGAGGAAAACTATGAACAAATCTAATAAACCAAAAATATTTGGGATCATTGTTGTCAAGCAATTTATCGTTTATCTACCCAAACCTGCATGTTTAGATTTGGTCAATCACCGGTATTGTGGTCCATTTAAGTAAAAAGGATGTTGACAAATTGGACAGGTTAAAAGTGACAAGACAGTTGTATCTATGTACTGAAATAGACATTTAGCTGACGACAACCAAGGATATTGTTGTCCACTTAAATTCAGCAACGAGATCTACATACAACCTTTTGGATTATTCTATTTTAGATGCACTAGAACGTGTTTCCCACTGCCCGATATACCCCGATAATCAAGAACTTCCAAAGAACTCCTTACTTTAGTTGAGTAGACAATCATTCAGAAAGAAGTTAGATATATAAGTGCATATGTTGTATCCCAGGTCGGATGTCTTCTAATTACATAGAGGAACAACATATGACTAACATAGATAGGGGATTAGAGAGATAGTAGAGTGCATATGTTGTGTCCCAGGTCGGATCTTCCGATCACACAGAGGGGACAACATATGACTAACAGATAGAAACAATTTCATAGATAAGGATATACATAGAGATAGAGTTGCATATGTTGCATTCCAGGTCGGATATGTTCCAATCACGCAAAGGAAGCAACATATGGCTGACAGATAGAAAGCAAGAAAATAATTTCCTACAAACCTACATTATCAGAAGCCTAGTCGCCCTAT